AGTGGGGGAGGGAGGGGTCCCAGGTCATTGTCCACCAGCCCCACCAGCCCTAGAAGAGCTCTGGGACCTTCCCGGAAGGAGGGGAAGTTTGAACCTTCAAGTGAGCCCATGCTGCATCCCAGGTATAATAAACAGGGCCATAAAATACACCTGGGACCTTGTCCGGGTTCAACCTGGGCGCCACAGAGACAAGGAGGGTCTCTCCCCCCCTCTCATCAGTTCCTCAGTTTCATGTTCGGTTCTGTTGAAAGAAAAAAAAATCTTCATCAGGGTCCAATCCAAGCTGGGAACAAACAAAATGGAGACTGCTTTAGAAAGAAGATTGTCATTTATTGAAGAGCAGAGCCAGACAGAAAGATGGCTCTGGAAAAAAAAACTGTCTACGTGTAGCTGGGAGTGGTGAAAAATATCTTCTTGGATTTTTTGTGTTTGGAGTTGCTTCCTGTTCCTGTGGCACGAACTTTGACCTGAGGGCTTTTGAGTGTGCCCTTTTTTGGTGTTCTGATGGTTCTGGGTTAATCCTATTAATGATAATAATAATAAAGTTGGAAGGTCATCTAGTCCAGGGGTGGAGGTCATCTAGTCCAGGGGTGTCAAACTGCCGGCCCGTGGGCCGGACGCATCATCCCAAAACCGCGCCCACCCCATTGCCGGCAATGGAGAAAAAGCTCTGATACGTCGCGCGACGTCGCGCGACGTCGCGAGTTTTGACAGGCCTGATCTAATCCAGCCCTTCCCAAAGGTCATATTCTGCTTCCCTAGGGCTGGGGCTGACGGCTTACTTCCCATGTTGGATATTTTTGGGATGTGAGGGGTTGTTGATTCTAGGGATCTTGGTCTTTCTAATCCCGTCAGCTCCAAGCTTCCTGGCTCCCGGTCTTTCTGACAGGATGATCACATCTGCATTTCTACAGACCTGGTTTCGGCTCGGGGGACAGAGAGACTTGGAGCGGGGTGGAGTGGTTTCTGCCTAAGATTTTCCATGATTCCTTTGGGGGAATAGAAAATTCTGCTTTTTTAATATCCCCCCAAATATTTCTCTCTCTCTCTCTCCGCGCGCGTGCGCGCGTGCTGATTTCCAACTGCTCCTTAAAACGTTAAACCTTGTGATTTCTCGGAAGCTGCTTGGCGTGGGACCAGCAGGAGAGGGAGTGGTCCCGGGGCCCAGGTCATGGTCCAGCCTCTCCTTTGTCTTTTCTCCTAATCTTGGCCTCGTGTGACGGTTACGCGTGATGGTTACCTGCTTTATCTCCTTCTTTTCCTCCACCCTAAAGTACACGCCAGAGTCCATCGGTCATTTGGCTTTCGTAAAAGTGCATTCTGGTGGGGGCGGGGGGCTGTTTATCAGCCCTGGTCTGCCCCCCCCCCAACCAACAACCACCAGCCCCGGGGAACATTGCCATTTTTTTTTCTCCCACTCCCAACCTCCCGTTCTTAGGGAAAGTTATGGAATAGGTTGTGACCGGATGATTTGGGTCCCCTTTCGGTCAGGAATCCGTGGAACGGCCTGCCACCAGAAGCTGTGGGTGCGCTTAGCACCGGAGGACTTTAAGAAGTGATCGGACAGCCGTTTGTCTGAAATGGGAGAGGCTCTCCTGCCTGAGCCGGGGGCTGGACTAGAAGACCTCTAGGGTCCCCTTCTGACTCTATGGTTCCTTTTTTCTATTTGGAGGGAGTGGGAGGTCTCTGGCCTCAAAGTCCTGCAGAGCCAAGTCAGTAGTCCTCAAGAGACTCTCCGGGACTCTGCCAGCATCCCATCAGAGGAGACCCTGTGGCCCTCGGGGTCTTTCAGATGCGCCTGGGGCTGGGGGGACCCATCTGAAGCCCCCCCCTCGGTGACTGGCCACGGATAACGGACACCGTCACCATATGCATCAACGGCTGGGCGATGCTGCTGGCCTGGCCGAGTGATGGTGGGGGTTTCCTCGGAGCTGGCTCACCCCCCCACAAACTGTGGCTCTTACCCCCCCGAGACAGACCTATACAGGGGGGATTCAGAGCCCACTAGGGTAGGGGACCCCCAAAAGAGAGCTGTGGGTGGCCCCAGAAGGTTCCCGGGCCCCTCGGCTCAGTTGGGCCTTGCAAACAGCTGAGATTGGGGGGTCTCAAACATCACGGGGGAGGGGGGACTAGATGGCACTCATTTGCTCCCCCTCCCCATCTTCCAAAGGAGGGGTGGTTTTTTTTTGTTTGCTTTTATAAATATTTTATTAACTTACTAGTTTTACAGTCAAGTATTTAATAGACGACGTGTTGTCTGGGCCCGTTAGTAATTCAGGAGTATGTATTAACTCCTTCCATCTAGATCCAATATTACGCCGTCAAATGTGTCCTCTCTTCTTCTGGGACTGCCTGTTTTCCCACACTAGGCAAATGCAATTCTTTTCTTTTCTTTTAAACTTTTTATTAATTTTCTAATGTTACAATTACATCTTTGAAAAACAACGTGGCGGCGGAGTTACCATAATTCAATTACCTACAGATCGTGTTAACACACGTCTCCAACTGCTTCAGCCAATATTGCCTCTCTTTTTCCCTTAGTGTATATACTGTCTCTTATTAGTGTACTTCTTATCCCAGGGCTTTTCAACCAGTGGTACGGGTACCACCTGTGGTACATTGGCCCCTGGCAGGGGGTACGCGACCATCCTAGAAAAGTGGTAGCAGGGGAGGGGAATGAGCAGAACCGGTGGCAGCACCGCACAAGCCTGAGCGAGAGACGGCTGGAGCTACAGGGCTGTCAGGGCTCAGCGGAAGCGCCAGGATCAGCGCCAGACTCCAGCTGGAGCTCTGCACTGATCCTGGCGCTTCTGCTGAGCCCAGAAGAAGCGCCGATCAGCTGGAATGTTGCAGCATCTCCAGGGTCTTGTGATTTACATTCAGATGCTTGGCAACTGATTCATATTTATGACGGTCACAGTGTCCCAGGGTCACGTGAAGTGGCCAAAACCTGCTGCAACCACCCAGCAGACGGGGGGAATAAAAACCAAAACACACACACCCCCCGCTGCCAATCCTCAACAGAAATGCTCACAACAATGAAAACCTCGGACAGGAGGAAGAGCGCGGCCGGGTGGGCAGGCAGGCGTCTTGCTCGGCTGTGGCTTGGGGGGCACTTTTTTTCAGGGCCATTGTAACTTCGAACAGTCACTAAGCGAACTGTTGTAAGTCGAGGACTACCTGTACTTTATCACTTTTTTCCTTTTTTTTTTTTTTGGGTCATCAAGTTTTTGACACCTTGCTAGGCGACTGGTGGTACTCGGATACTGCCGTATCCTAAAAGTGGTACAATGGGTGAAAAGGTTGAAAAGCCCTGTCTTATTCTACCAATCAGGTACAAAATAACTTTCTTACAGAGAGAGTTACAAAACACACAGTCTTCATTCCTAAGTCAGGAGATTTAATCAGATTTTCGTAAGAAGAACAGACAGGACCTCCCCCGCGCGTCCACATTCGCCTCCGGAAAGCGGCGTGGAAGAGTACAGAGACGGCCTTGCAGGAAACAGGTGGCAGCTGTTGGGAAAACATGAATTCACCCCGGGAAAACAGGAACGGGTGAGCAAGAACCTCAAGGTTGATGCATTTTGGTGCCTGTGGGAGCGAAAGGGAGACACTTTCAAGATTCTGCTACTATAATCGCTACCGACAAAATCTAATATTTGTTGCGGCGGTGGTTTCTCGGCGTGCTCTGCCTTGAAGGATTGACAGATGGGGAAGTCCCAAAGAAAATACGTGGCAGCTGTTAAAAAACCATGAATTCACCCCAGGAAAACAGGAAGGGGTGAGAAAGAAGCTCAAGGCTGCCTTGTCTTGATGTTCATTGGTTCCAGCGGGAGCGAAGGGGAGACGCTTTCAAGATTCTGCTACTATAATCGCTACCGACAAAATCTAATATTTGTTGCGGCGGTGGTTTCTCGGCGTGCTCTGCCTTGAAGGATTGACAGATGGGGAAGTCCCAAAGAAAATACGTGGCAGCTGTTAGGAAAACATGAATTCAGCCCAGGAAAACAGGAAAGGGTGAGAAAGAAGCTCAAGACTGACTTGTCTTGATGTTCATTGGTTCCAGCGGGAGCGAAGGGGAGACGCTTTCAAGATTCTGCTACTATAATCGGTACCGACAAAATCTAATATTTCTTGCGTCGGTGGTTTCTCGGCGTGCTCTGTCTTGAAGGATTGACAGATGGGGAAGTCCCAAAGAAAATACATGGCAGCTGTTAAAAAAACATGAATTCACCCCAGGACAACAGGAAAGGGTGAGAAGGAAGCTCAAAGCTACCTTGTCTTGATGTTCATTGGTTCCAGCGGGAGCGAAGGGGAGACGCTTTCAAGATTCTGCTACTATAATCGGTACCGACAAAATCTAATATTTCTTGTGTCAGTGGTTTCTCGGCCTGCTCTGCCTTGAAGGATTGACAGATGGGGAAGTCCCAAAGAAAATACGTGACAGCTGTTAGGAAAACATGAATTCACCCCAGGAAAACAGGAACGGGTGAGAAAGAAGCTCAAGGCTGACTTGTCTTGATGTTCTTTGGTGCCAGCGGGAATAAAGGACAGATGTTACTGTCATTTATACCAATAAAGTCGAGTTCTAATATTTCTTGTGTTGGTGGTTTCCTGGCCTAGTCTCCCTCGAAGGATTGAGAGATGGGAAGCCCGAAAGAGAGTGTCCTTCCAAAGGGTCCAGGCTGGTAGAGAATGAGGCTGTGGAGCCAGCAGATACCGGGCGGGGCGGGGGGCAGGATCTTCCCACTGAAGAAAGTCCGTCATCCTAGGAGAGGAATCGGGTTCTCGGGAGAAGGAATCGGCTCGGGGTGATTCCGCCACGACTTGGGTTCTTGGGAGGTCTCCCGGCGAGGGCTGGATTAGAACGGAACAAAAGGGGGGAAACGCAGGGTTGGGGCCTCTGAGAGAGCTGCCTCCTTGGAGCAGAGGATCAAGTAGAAAGATTCTGGGGTGTTTGTTAGAGAAGAGAACACCAGGGTTGTTGTTTTTTCTTATACGCCTCTGCGTCTTTCTTCATCATGTCTTCCGTGTAACACGGAGCCTCGCGGTTCATGTAGACCAGCTTATCAATCATGCTCATCAGCTGGGCCACCTGGTCCTCGCGTTCTTTCCCTTTGGCCTTGTTGTCGAAAGCCAGGATCCGGGACCTGCATTCCGTCACTTGATCCTGAAGACAGGAATCGTCCTCGGAGATGAACTCCTCCAGAGTTTTACCTTCCAGGTCATCTTTCCGGGTGAACAGGAGGATCATGTAATTCTTGGCGTTGAGGCTGAAGATCTCCTTGATCAGCTCTGCCACGTCCTTCTCCTCTTGGGAGAAGCGGCCTGGCCGAACCACCTGCACGATGACGTGCGGGCCCGGGGCACACAACTCCACGCACTTCTTCACTTCCTCCACCGTTATGTGCGCCGGAATCTTGGTGTCGAAAAAGCCCGGCGTGTCGACCACCACAACCTTACTGCCGTTCAACGACGCCTCCTTCTTCGTGCAATTCACGGTGACGGACTTAGGCGACGCTGCCGCGTGAAACAATCTGTTTCCCAGGATGGTGTTTCCCGTCGCGCTTTTCCCGTTCCCGGTTTTGCCCACCAGGACGATCCTCCGCTCGGGCCCTGGAACCCAAAGCAGGGGGGGGGGAGAGAGAGAGAGGAGTGAAGAAGTGGACCCCGGTCAACAGCGTGCAGCCATCACAGATGGTTACCCGCCCCAGCCAGGAGAGTGTCACCCAATCCCAGCCAACCCCACCCGCAGGAGCCCAAAGACATTACCTTCAGTACGTTGGATGTATCGAGCCATTTCCAGAAGATTCACGCGGGAGAAATCGCGAGGTTTCTGCATCAAAAGCGAACAGAATCAGCCACGGGAGATTGATAGGCGCGCCCCTTCCTCCAGAAGACACATTCGGGAATTGGAGAGGGGGGGGATTAAAAGCGGCCCCCACCCCCTGCAGACCTTGAGGCAGAGTCAACCTGATCCCCCTCTCCCCCCCCACACGCTTTGGAGGCTTCCGGGAAAAGTGGGAATGGATCCCCAAACAGGTTCCCCCGGAGCCTTCAGACGATCCCGCTGCAGCTCCAGCCTGCCTCAACCAATCAATGGGAATAAAGCCGGAAGGGGCCTCGGAGGTCTTCTAGTCCAGCCCCCTGCTCCGGCAGGAGACCCTGACAGAATCACAGAAGGGCCGAGTCGGAAGGGACCCCCGGAGGTCCTCTAGTCCAACCCCCTGCTCAAGCAGGAGACCCTGACAGAAGGACAGAGTCGGAAGGGACCCCGGAGGTCATTAGTTCAACCCCCTGCTCAAGCAGGAGACCCTTACAGAATCACAGAAGGACAGAGTCGGAAGGGATCCTGGAGGTCATCTAATCCAGCCCTCTGCTCAAGCAGGAGACCCTGACAGAATGATCGAGTCAAAAGGGACCTTGGAGGTCATCTAGTCCAACCCCCTGCTCAAGCAGGAGACCCTGACAGGAGGACAGAGTCGGAAGGGACCCCGGAGGTCCTCTAGTCTAACCCCCTGCTCAAGCAGGAGACCCTGACAGAATCACAGAACGACAGATTCAATCCCTCTCTTAAGGCAAACTCAGGATTGTGATGACTTTTTCGGCTGGCTCCTATTGCATTGATTGTCTGGCGAAGACTCCGCGGTCCCCATCCCAGTTACGGCTATGAAACCTGGTTTCACCCAATCTGTAGGTGTCCTTTGGGTTTTTTTTCTTTCTCTCACCTAAGTGGAAGACTTTACTTTTCATTGGAACACACACACACACACCTCCCTATCAGTCTTCCTTCTCCCTCATCCCTCTTTCCTGGCATTGGCCCATCAGCCACTGCCACACTGGGTCTCAGGGCTGAGCCAGCCTCCTCCGCCGTTGGGCAATGTGGGAACTCTGTGCCGAAGTTGTGCCCGGGACGAAGGAAGCAGCCGCAGGTACCGAGAAAGCGTCTCCCCGTCGCTCCCGCAGGTAGCAGGTGGAGGGGCAGGCAGAGAGTCAGCAAGGGTAGAGGGTCTCCTGCCTGAGCAGGGGGCTGGACTAGATGGCCTCCGAGGTCCCTTCCCACTCTGTTATGCGACGAGTCTGTAAGGGTCTCCTGCTCGAGCAGGGGGCCGGACTAGATGACCTCCGAGGTCCCTTCCAACTCTGTGATTCTGTAAAGGTCTCCTGTTTGAGCAGGGGGCTGAACTAGATGCCCTCCGAAATCCCTCCCCACTCTGTTATGCTATGATTCTGTAAGGCTCTCCTGCTCCAGCAGGGGGCCGGACTAGATGACCTCCGAGATCCCTTCCAGCTCTGTGACTCTGTAAGGGTCTCCTGCCTGAGCAGGGGTCCGGACTAGATAACCTCCAAGATCCCTTCCAGCTCTATGGCTCTGTAAGGGTGCCTGAGCAGGTGCCTGACTAGATGACCTCTAAGGTCCCTTCCAGCTCTATGGCTCTGTAAGGGTCTCCTGCCTGAGCAGGGGGCCGGACTAGATGACCTCCGAGATCCCTTCCAGCTCTGTGACTCTGTAAGGGTCTCCTGCTTGAGCAGGGGGCCGGACTAGATGACCTCCAAAGTCCCTTCCAGCTCTAAGACTCTGTAAGGGTCTCCTGCCGGAGCAGGGGGCTGGACTGGATGGCCTCCAAGGTCCCTTCCCCGCTCTGTGACTCTGGAAAGGTCTGCCTGCCTGCCTGAGCAGGGGGCCGGACTAGAGGACCTCCGAGGTCCCAAGCTCCTAAGTCCCAAGCCTCGAGGGCGGGGGGGGGGCAGGCGCCCCCTCCCCGTTTCCTAGCCCAGGGGAGGGGCGGCCGTGCGGAGACCCACCTGAGACCCTCCTCCGAGGAGTAGCTGATGGGTGGGTGGGTGGGTGGGATCCGCCGCCTCCGCCGCTGTCCCGGCGCTTCTGCCCCTCCGCGGAGGGCCGGGCGTAAAGTCGTGCTCCTCTGGGCGGGGCCTGCGGGGTGGGCGGAGTCTCCTCGCCCCCTTCTCCCCCCCCCCGTCCCCGTTAGCAGCGAGAGAAAGGAGGGGGAATCCTGGAGAGTCCCCCCCCCGCCCCCCTCCTCTGCCCGTTCCCGACCCGAGGAAAACGCGAGCCAAGGAATTCTGTTTTTTCCAGACTCGATGGAAAATGGAATGGAATGGAATGGGAAAATAGAATAGAAAAGAAAAGAGGAATAGAATAGAATAGAATAGAATGGAATGGAATGGAAATAAGAATAAGAAATAAGAATAAGAAATAAGAAATGAATAGAATAGAATAGATATTGGAATATAGAATGGAATGGAATAGAATTAGAATAAAAATACAGACTAGATTGGACTGGACTGGACTGGAATAGAATAGAATAGAAATAAGAATAAGAAATGAATAGAATAGAATAGAATAGAATAGAATAGAACAGAATAGAATGGAAATAAGAATAAGAAATAAGAATAAGAAATAAGAAATGAATAGAATAGAATAGATATTGGAATATAGAATGGAATGGAATAGAATTAGAATAAAAATACAGACTAGATTGGACTGGACTGGACTGGAATAGAATAGAATAGAAATAAGAATAAGAAATGAATAGAATAGAATAGAATAGAATAGAATAGAATAGATATTGGAATATAGAATAAAATGGAATAGAATAGAGTTAGAATAAAAATACAGACTAGACCAGAATAGAATAGAATAGAATAGAATAGAATAGAATGGAAATAAGAATAAGAAATAAGAATAAGAAATAAGAAATGAATAGAATAGAATAGAATAGATATTGGAATATAGAATGGAATGGAATAGAATTAGAATAAAAATACAGACTAGATTGGACTGGACTGGACTGGAATAGAATAGAATAGAAATAAGAATAAGAAATGAATAGAATAGAATAGAATAGAATAGAATAGAATAGAATAGAATAGAATAGAGTAGAATAGATATTGGAATATAGAATAAAATGGAATAGAATAGAGTTAGAATAAAAATACAGACTAGACTAGACCAGAATAGAATAGAATAGAATAGAATAGAATAGAATAGAATAGAATAGAATGTAGAATGTAGAATGGAATGGAATGGAATAGAATTAGAATTAGAATTAGAATTAGAATTAGAATTAGAATTAGAATAGAATATGGAATAGAATATAGAATGGAATGGAATAGAATAGAATTAGAATAAAAATACAGACTAGACTAGACTAGACTAGACCAGAATAGAACAGGATAGGATAGGATAGGATAGGATAGAATAGGATAGAATAGGATAGAATATAGAATGGAATGGAATGGAATAGAATAGAATTAGAATAAAAATACAGACTAGACTAGACTAGACTAGACTACACTAGAATAGAATAGAATAGAGTAGAATACAATATGGAATAGAATATGGAATAGAATTAGAATAGAAATATAGAATAGAATAGAAATACAGAATAGAATAGAATAGAATAGAATAGAATAGAATAGAATAGAATAGAATGGAATGGAATGGAATGGAGTGGAGTGGAGTGGAGTGGAGTGGAGTGGAGTGGAATGGAATGGAATGGAATAGAATAGAATAGAATTAGAATTAGAATAGAATAGAATATGGAATAGAATATAGAATGGAATGGAATAGAATAGAATTAGAATAAAAATACAGACTAGACTAGACTAGACTAGACCAGAATAGAACAGGATAGGATAGGATAGGATAGGATAGGATAGGATAGGATAGAACAGGATAGAATATAGAATGGAATGGAATGGAATAGAATAGAATTAGAATAAAAATACAGACTAGACTAGACTAGACTAGACGAGACTAGAATAGAATAGAATAGAGTAGAATACAATATCGAATAGAATATGGAATAGAATTAGAATAGAAATATAGAATAGAATAGAAATACAGAATAGAATAGAATAGAATAGAATAGAATAGAATGGAGTGGAGTGGAGTGGAGTGGAGTGGAATGGAATGGAATGGAATAGAATAGAATTAGAATTAGAATAGAATAGAATATGGAATAGAATATAGAATGGAATGGAATAGAATAGAATTAGAATAAAAATACAGACTAGACTAGACTAGACTAGACCAGAATAGAACAGGATAGGATAGGATAGGATAGGATAGGATAGGATAGAACAGGATAGAATATAGAATGGAATGGAATGGAATAGAATAGAATTAGAATAAAAATACAGACTAGACTAGACTAGACTAGACTACACTAGAATAGAATAGAATAGAATAGAGTAGAATACAATATGGAATAGAATATGGAATAGAATTAGAATAGAAATATAGAATAGAATAGAAATACAGAATAGAATAGAATAGAATAGAATAGAATAGAATAGAATAGAATGGAATGGAGTGGAGTGGAGTGGAGTGGAGTGGAGTGGAATGGAATGGAATAGAATAGAATAGAATTAGAATTAGAATAGAATAGAATATGGAATAGAATATAGAATGGAATGGAATAGAATAGAATTAGAATAAAAATACAGACTAGACTAGACTAGACTAGACCAGAATAGAACAGGATAGGATAGGATAGGATAGGATAGGATAGAATAGGATAGGATAGAACAGGATAGAATATAGAATGGAATGGAATGGAATAGAATAGAATTAGAATAAAAATACAGACTAGACTAGACTAGACTAGACGAGACTAGAATAGAATAGAATAGAGTAGAATACAATATGGAATAGAATATGGAATAGAATTAGAATAGAAATATAGAATAGAATAGAAATACAGAATAGAATAGAATAGAATAGAATAGAATGGAGTGGAGTGGAGTGGAGTGGAGTGGAATGGAATGGAATAGAATAGAATTAGAATTAGAATAGAATAGAATATGGAATAGAAT